CCCTGAAGACCTAATGGGATAGAAGGGGGAGGAGAATTCAATAATTCATAATTTTAAGAGATAAAAGGTATTGGCCAAACCCATTGACTTAGTCAGTTTTTTTGTTTATCGAAACAAAGTCAACGCTGGACCTGAGCAATAAAGATAAACCGAGAAAACGTCCTGTAATAGGTTGCTTATTATAGACTGCAGCTAGATGACTCATGGTAAATTTATTTGAAGTTAAGTCTGGCTTATTTTGCACATATTTCGTTAAAATGTGTTGGGGCAGTGTCTAGGGACCTTGGAAGTCTGAAGCCAAGATATCAACTAATGAAAAGTAATGATCTTAGTCGACTTGGCAGTTTCTCCTACAAACTTGATCAGAAGAATATATTTGGCACCGGTACATTTCTTCTATAAATGTCCAAAGCACAACTCTAAAAATAAGTCAAATGGTTCGAGCAGTCTAAAATGGGTCAAAAAAGTTGCTGGGATTGTTAGCTTTCATACATTTTCTATGCGCACATATATATTTTTTTAAAAACTTCAGAAATGATTACGAAAAGTAACATTTATTTGTTCACGCAGTGCACGATAAGCAGTTGACAGATGGTTATGTCCATTAATCGATTCATCGGTCAAGCACCACGATTCACGCAACAGGCGTAAAATTCGATTGCCTAACTGCCTCAAAATTCTCACGCATGTGTAGTCAAAGCCATTCCCTGGCGAGGACGCGTGAGCGGCTACCAAGAGAAGTTTATCCTTCCGTCTTAAAGCTACCTCGCGCAATCCCGTGCGAACATGTTTGTCCGCTTCACCAACACAATTTGCTTGGCCGCAATTTTAGTTCATCTATCTCTGATTGATGGGAATCGGGTCCTTAGGGTGCATAATTCGCCAGTGGACTTTCGCTTCCGGTCTGTGAGCGGCGCCAATCCCCAATTCGTTCAACGGTCTGGCAAATTCTTTGGACACACCAATTATGCAAAGACAGTGCTCGTCAAGATCTCGGACTTGGCTGCTTCTTCGGGTTTATTTTCTCGCCTTCTCGCTTACATTCTTCAAAAAACGGCCAGGATATCTCTTGACCGTGTGAAGGGTTCCTATATGAACTGGACGTCAATCTACATGACAACTGGTTTGCTGCAATGGGTTTCTACACAGCAGTACAGTGTCCTCTTTAAGGATTGTGTGAGTATACAACGCCACTCTTTAGCAAACCATGGTCCCTGCGGCCTGGTGTGCGCTGGCGGTTTCCCTGGATCTGATTTTCCGTCGGTGTATGAGCTTGCGCGCCCACTGGGTTTACTTTCACTACATCTACAGTCACCGCGCCTGCCTTCAGCTTGCTGAAGCTCGTGGCGGACATCGTCGAGAACGACGGTCGAACTATCACAGTATCTTCATGCAGCTGCATTTGTGCTAGAGGGGTCGGTTGGTAAAATAACTCAGAATACGAGAGGTAATCGACATTTCCCTATGAACTTTTTTTGTTTCCCTATCGCCCCTTCTGTACACTAGCACGTCGAGGAACGACAACTTCCTCCATCGTGAACTGAGTGTCTGGGAAGATCGAGTTCAGATTTTGTGTGAATTTCCCTATCTTGTCCCGCCTGATGACGATAAATTTGTCGTCAACATACCGTACCCAAAATCGTGGTCGATGGTGATCGAATGCCAGTGTCTCCAGTCGCTGCAATACCGTCAAAGCCAGCAGAGTGGACGACGGCGACCCCGTTAGTTTGCTGCTGACTTGTTCGTAGACAGTTCTATTGAAAGTGAAGTCGGTCCTCAAATAGTATTTCAGGAAGTCGATAAGACGCACTGTTTGCAAACCCTGTTAGGAGAGCACTATAAGGAGACGGACCGATTCGTTAACATATTAGGGCGGTTAGTTAAAAACCATCGTCCAAGGTTTGAGGCAGCAGATTCAAAAGAATACATATCGTTTTTTGGCTATCTGTGGAGAGTGCAGGCCATAGGACTGGAGTAGCATGCCAAGGATCCAGGAATGAAATCGAAGGGATTTACTGCTGACTAGACTTAAGGCCGCCGCTCAACCGGTAGCGTAACTCGGGCCACATAAATACTGGATAAAAAGGGTGAGAATAAGGAGAAGAGGGGAAACAGTTGTAACCTACCTGCTCGTCATTACAAATCTTCCAACAGTCCTGTGTGAGGTCACAGCTGCCGGCCGCTGTATCAGCATCGTCATTTGTGCTACCCTCGGCCTGAACGGCAGGGTCGTAGAGGCAGGAGGTGGGCTGATTTTCTCTCACTACAGCGATGTAGTGACCGGAAGTAGATTGGCGCCCAAGGTGCAGGAGCACACCCGACAAACGGTACAGCCGACGCACCGATGACTCTGTAGGGAGCAGGAAGTTTAAAAAAAATTGGCGAGGAAACCAATGGCTGTCAATGCAGGACTACCGTTTCATTTTGAAAAGTTGAATTACTCATCAGGCTCTAGTTTGAGTCACAGTACTTCCTACGATTAGGACTTATGTAGCACACTGCTTGGGGCGCGACGCTTATGAATGAGTGCGTTTTGCCTTGGCTCCGTTGTGAGATTGAAATGTCATCGGAATCGGTGCTGCACGTGCAAGTTGCCTACGGTCGTCGTAGAGCTGTGACCTCATTCCACGTTAAAGCAAGTTGTGAAATGTGCTTTCAATTAAAAAATGCTTAAATAGGGGGTTACTTGTACTTATTACGGCCGTGATCATGCCTGATTTAGCCGGCCTCGATGATGTCACGGACGGTACCTCTCCATGCGTAACTATTGGCGGCAGCGAATCTGGAGAGCTGTACCCAGTCCCTTCTCCAGCGCCGGAGACCGAATACCGAAGGTCCAAGAACCACTTCCATGTGCTGAC